AACTTTAGTTTCTAACCAATTTTGGCTGATCTCAAAAAAAAAAAAAAAAAATCTAAGCAAGGCCATACCAGTTAATATTTGAAAGGGAGAAGAACTGGACACCCCATGGCTGGAGTGTATGGAGATGGGCAAGTTTTAAAACAAAATTGGTTTTAAACTGTCCTTGGGTGTTAAACTGCTTAGCATTAATACTGGACATTCCAAAGGGCTCTCGTGACACAGCAGTTTGATATTGTGCTGTCAGCGATATCGGAGGCAGAAAATTCTTTAGGCAAACAAAGGCAGTCTGGGAATGTTGAATGATTGGGCCACATCTGTGTATATTGTACACCGTGGTGGTGCAGTGATTAGAATGCAATACTTCAGTATTAATCTTATTGTATATAATACAGATAGGGAAATTTGGAGAGAGGAGCTGCTCGGACATTACCCCTGAATTGTATCTGAAGAGGGATGAAGAAAGGAGAGGAGAGAGAAAAGAGTGAAGGAGGGGAGAAGGAAGTAGGAAGGTTGGAGGAGAAGAGGAGAAGTGGGGAGAAAGGGGAGGAGAGTGGTGAAGGAAAGAGAAGAGGAGAGGAAGAAGAGGGAAGTAGGGAAGAGAAGAAAGGGAGAAAGAAGGTAGAGAAGAAGGCGTGTGGATACGGTGAAAGGGGAAATGGGCGAGCAACACCCAAAGTCCTGTGTACGTATTTATTTCATTTGATTAAAAGTATCTTATATATGAACGTTAAAAGAATGTATGTTAACATCTGATAAATATTACGGTATATGTATGGGGGAAAGTTTGGAAAAATAAAAAATTATTAAAAAAAGAAAGAAAGAAAGCAATACTTCAGGCTAATTCCCTGCTGACTCCAGGAGTTCGATTCTGAATGGTTCAAGATTGACTCAGCCTTCCATCCTTCGGAGGTCAGTAAAATGATGACCCAGATTGTTGGGGGCAAAATGCTGACTCTGTAAGCCGCTTAGAATGGGCTGTAAAGCACAGTGAAGCGGTTTATAAGTCTAAGTGCTATTGTTACTGTGTATGCTATTGTATGCATAGATATATTTGTTGTTAGTTGCGAAGTCGTGTCCGGCCCATCGCGACCCCATGGACAACGTTCCTCCAGGTCTTCCTGTCCTCTAGATATATAGGTATCTACTTATAGTAAATTCCTATCACCTATAGTAAATTCCTATTCTTTATATAACCGGATTAAGTTTACATGAAGTCCCTCTTGGCATTCCAATCTCAAAGCAACACAATGTGTTGCTGAAGTTTGCAGATGGAGCTTTTGCACGGAGTTGGCCCTGTTAAGATGTCATGATGTTCTTATATCTTTTTTCTTGAAATTTATTTTGATATTTTTAAGGGACCGGTCCCATCGTAAAGGATAACGTCAACCACTTTCATACTGTTGGACAGGACCTGAGCCAACCCCAAGATACTTTGGTGTTATTTTACTGCCCATCTCAGTCCTATATAACAAGTGTCTTCCCTCACACAGCTACGTGATTCAGGAGGGCCAAGGCATTGTAAGTGCTTGTGCATTCAGCCATCCTAACCCATGGGATAAGCACTCTTCTTCCTGGTTCCGCTGCTTGTTTTGAAACCACACCCGACTCCTGCATTTAAGTTGGTGCATTTTCTTGGAACATCAGTCAACCTTTCAACAGTTATGTTGGTGTGCTAGGCCTTGGTGTACTTAATCCTGGTGGGTTGAATAAACCACTGTGTCTGCATATGGTGCTAAGCCTGCCCAAAGAAACTGCATTTGGCTTAGTGTAGTGGCTGGATCCAGAAACTGTACACCATAGGCTTAAGATACAGGAGGACCTGGACAGACTTGAACATTGGGCACTATCTTAAAAAATGATATTCAATGGTGAAAAAAGTAAAGTTCTACCTTTAGGCAAGAAAAACCAAATGTACAGGTATAGTATAAGTGGTACCTTGCTCAATAGTAGTAACTGTGAGAGGGATCTCGGAGTCCTAGTGGACAATCACTTAGATAGGAGCCAGCTGTGTGCTGCAGCTGCCAAAAAAGCCAACACGGTGTTAGGCTGCATTAACAGAGGGATAGAATCAAGATCACGTGAAGTCTTAATACCACTTTACAATGCCTTGGTAAGGCCACACTTGGAATACTGCATCCAGTTTTGGTCACCACAATGTAAAAAAAATGTTGAGACTCTGGAAAGAGTGCAGAGAAGAGCAACAAAGATGATTAGGGGACTGGAGGCTAAAACATATGAGGAACAGTTGCTAGAATTGGGTATGTCTAGTTTAACAAAGAGAAGGACGAGGGGGGACATGATAGCAGTGTTTCCAATATCTCAGTGGCTGCCCCAAAGAAGAGGGAGTCAAGCTATTCTCCAAAGTGTCTGAAGGCAGGACAAGAAGCAACGGAGGGAAACTAATCCAAGCCGAGGTGGCACAGCAGTTAGAGTGCAGTACTGCAGGCCACTTTAGCTGACTGTGTTCAGCAGGTCAGCGGTTCAAATCTCACCGGCTCAAGGTTGACTCAGCCTTCCATCCTTCTGGGGTAGGTAAAATGAGGACCCAGATTGTTGGGGGCCATGTAAATATATATATATATACATTGCTTACTGGTGTACACCGCTTAGAGAGTGCTTGCACTTAAAGCGGTATATAAGTCTCATAAATAAATAAATAAATAAATAATCAAGGAGAGAAGCAACCTAGAACTAAGGAGAAACTTCCTGACAGAACAATTAACCAGTGGAACAACCTGCCTCCAGAAGCAGTGAATGCTCCAACACTGAAAGTTTTTAAGAAGAGACTGGACAGCCATTTGTCCGAAATGGTATGGGGTTTCCTGCCTGAGCAGGGGGTTGGACTAGATGACCTCCAAGGTCCCTTCCAACTTTATTATTATTATATTGCAGGAATATATGTAGGTCTGGCCAGCATGTGCACCCCGACCCAGGAGAGCAAAGCTGTACCTAGTTCTTCTTCTCTGAGTCTTCTATGTTCCTCATACTCTGTTGGATAAGTGCAGAGACTACAAGATACCTTCTGACAAGGTCAAGAGATAAGAGTAAAGGAGACATACCTTCTCTCTCTGCTGATGTGGTAGGACATGTTGTGAAGGTCCATCTTGTGAAATGCTCATCTTACAGAACCCTCCCTGATCCAAGACACAACCAGAGGACCAACAGTAGAACATCCTCGTCCCTTAGCTTTGGATGATCCCAACCTTGTTGGCCATCCAGAAGGCCTTAAAAACCCGAGGATTTAGGGAAAATAGAATCCAATTTGTATATATATATATTTTTCCCCCCTGGGTTGAAGTTGGCTATTTCCAGCTGGCATGTTTAAACTTTTCTCATTTTTACGTGCACGTTTTTTGTGCTTTTCTTGTGCTACTTACCCAGAGTTGTTTGAGTAGGAGGGGCAGAGATACATACATACATACATACATACATACATACATACATACATACATACATATATTTGCATAATAAATACATGAATCAATGCATAAATATAATTAGACGGTTCTGTCTAATCATATTTACAGTGCTCGCTGGCAACACAATCCATTTTGGTTAATAAAAAAACTCCATCTTTATCTGGGTTGAAATCAGGACTATAGTTCTTTTTTTAATTAAATAAATGTTCCTTTGCTATTACTATGGAATAATGTTTCAGAAGCCCAATAAATTTGCGCAGAAACTGCTATCAAAGGATTAATAAAGGCGGAGCGATTGCAGCCTGATTAGTTGTGAGTGTCTTTTTCAGGAGAATTTAGCAAGTTCTCCTGCCTCTCCAGCCTCTCTCCTTCGCCACCCCATGATTCTTGTTGACTATAAACAAGCCTCAATAATGTTGAGTCATTGCAACGAGAGAGAACAGTGGCCGGATAAAATAATCACTAACCAGAGACAGATTCAAGAAACAGGAATTTAGAATAAGGAGCTGGCCACGTTCCCAGGCCTAAGAATCTGCAGAATAAAAAGGGACTTTGCGCATGCCAGTCAATCCAGGGGAATCAGCAGCCCTCTTCTGCTTGCTTTTAGAGATTATCTTCATGATGATGCTGTTGTTTGAGCCAAAAACGTAGGTCAAGGGTGGGTGCAACCCCTCTTGAACTAAACTAAGCCAGATTCTTTTTTGATTTGCGTGACCAGCAAGAATTTGACTGCAGTGCAGCACAGGCTTGCAAGACTTTCTCCTTTTGAAGGTCTCCTTTTGACGGTCTCCTTTTGACGTTCTCCTCCCTTTTCCTTCGTCATCTCACTGTGAAAAAGCAAAATGGAAACTGTGCTGTCTTCACAGTCGTGTGAACCGCTGCAGAGAGGCTAGAAGCAGAATCACCGGCTCCACCAGAACCTCTACCGGTTTGGACAAATCCGTCAGATGACTCTGAATATTTCACATGCACGCCCCACGGACCGACTCGACATGAGAATGGTTCCGGAGATGAGTTAGGAAAACATGGTTTTCCTTTCAGCCGAAGTGAAGCGCCACAGGAGAGGAAGATGGAGACGTGGTTGCTTGCTCCTGTCTGCTGGTGGTCCAAGATCCTTGCTCTTCCCAATCTTAGGGTTATTTACTTTAAATCAAATTGGGAAGAAGAACCCTTTAAGCAGAAAAAAAAACATTGTCCGCTGACACCGCTTCAAAAACTGAGAGCCGTGGTGTAATGTTGGCCACCTAGCTAGCTTTTTCTCCTTCTCCGGCAAGAATAAAAAAAAGGGCTGAAATCTGGAGTCTGTTTTGTTTGTGGGTTTTGTATTTGAATGCATATTCAATCCTAACACTTGTCTGAAGTGCTACATTCATCTTGAAAGCAGGAAAGGAGCTTTTATATGATGACTCACCCTCTGGTAGGCTGTCCTAGCACTGCAAATCTTAATGGATGAATTTTTTAAAGCAAAACTAATCAATTATTTTCTCTTTTCCCCCCCTTCCTCCCATCCTCTCTCTTCTCCCTCTTCCTCTCCCTCTCCCCCTCCCTCCCTCCCTCCCTCCCTCCCTCCTTTCTTTACAGGCACAAAAACCAAAGAAGGTGTGGTGCAAAGTGTCACTTCCGGTAAGTACTACACAAAAGTTGGTGTGGTGGATTTTTTCTGTTTTGAATGAGCAACAGCCTCTCCTGTCTTCCTACACCCATGTGTGGCTTGCATAAATACAGGGGAATTCACTTATTTTCCAAAAATCGATCCATCTACTAACATTATGAAAGTTCATACAGTGTGGAGTTAGAAAGGTAGATATCTCCCAATATCTCCAGGTCTGCATGTGTTGATGGTATTAGCACAATTTTTATTTGCTTTAGATGAATCACTTATCAATGTAGATCATCAGTAGACGATTGTAATGAAATATGGCCATTGTTCCATGAAATGCTTGTTGTAGAACATATATCTGCAAAAATATGCCCTATATATTATTTTTTCTTCTTCTTCTTCTTCTTCTTCTTCTTCTTCTTCTTCTTCTTCTTCTTCTTCTTCTTCTTCTTCTTCTTCTTCTTCTTCTTCTTTTCTTCTTCTTCTTCTTCTTCTTCTTCTTCTTCTTCTTCTTCTTCTTCTTCTTCTTCTTCTTCTTCTTTCTTCTTCTTCTTTCTTCTTCTTCTTCTTCTTCTTTCCTCCTCCTCCTCCTCCTCTCCTCCTCCTCTCCTCCTCCTCCTTCTCCTCTCTCTTCTTCTTCTTCTTCTTCTTCTTCTTCTTCGTCTTCTTCTTCTTCTTCTTCTTCTTCTTCTTCTTCTTTCTTTTGTCCTTTCATTCTTGTGCAAGTTTTATTTTCCTTTCTCTTACTTTGCGGCACTCAATCAATAAAAACAAAAGCAAACAAAAATTATGGTATAATGTGATTTATTCTTAGTTTAGAGAGAAAACAAGGTTATAGCCCATTGTTGTCCACATCAAGAGAAACTAGAAGTAAGCCAATTATGTTGTGACTGAATCCTTAATATGAGCATGTATCAACCTGCCATTTTCTGGCTAAAAGACCATTTCAGTTATCCATGACCCATGTTTGTGCTGGTGGACAAAAGCTACACTTTCACTTGTGCAAAACTGCAAAATGGTTTGCCACATTTTTGAAGAATAATTACCAGCATGTTGTCCATGCGGAAAATGATTGATGGGCTCATGGAGAGAACAAGGAAGTCTTGGTCCTTCTCTTTCAACATCAGAAGAGGGAAAGCATCTCAGCAGCTCTCAAGAAAGTTACCCCAAGTCAGAGAGAGGAAATAATGCATTAGAGTCTCTCCAGTAGGTCAACTCAAGGACTTCTTCTGAGGGAAGACCAGATGGTGTTCCTCAATCCACTTATGCAATTTCCTTCATCCTTCAACTTCAGGGCTTTGTCATGTTATATTTTGAAAGCTGGTGTAGACTTGAGACATTCTTGGGGGTGGTCTTAAATCTCCTTCAAGAGTCCAGAAAGTACACAATGATGGCTGAACAATCTGCCTCCACACATTTTTGGGCTTGTGGAGGTCACCAAAACAGATGCTGGTTGTAAGACTCCCAAATCCTACGTTGAAAAAATCCAATCCTTTGATCCTTTCAGAACTCACCTCCACTGAAGGATCACAGATAATCTTAGTAGCTTCCAACCACATCTAAAGAACTTTCACCTTATCTTGATTCATCCTCTCAGCTTCTTTCTGCTTCAACTACAGTGGCTGAGAAGACCAAAGAACAGGCCAATCTCGTGGGAGATACTATGGTGAGCAGCGTGAACATAGTGGCAAAGCAGACGGTGGAAGGAGCGGAGACCGTTGTAACCACAGCTGGACTAGTCAAAAGGGTAGGTGTGATCTGTCAGTTTTACCCCACGAATGAGACTTTACCGTGTTCCTAACACTTTGCCTGTGAGGTAAGTCCACTGTGGGTGTGGTGATTTTTTTCCCCTGCGAGAAACCATCCAGTTGAATGACCTCTGATCCCACAGGAATTCTTTAAAGAATGTTTAAATTCTTCAAATTCATAACTAGCGATAGCTTTGTTTGGAAGTAGGATGCCATGCCTAGAAATTATCTTTTGGTTGGGTAGGGTATATTCTGAAAAATGAGATGGTTCTCTTCTAACATATTAGGCTGGCTGGACTTTGGGTCATGAGCTCTTGATTTTGAGGGTGGCTGTGTCCAAGTTTCGTGTCTCTCAATATGTCAAAGTTGTCAAATTTATATTGGCTTGGGGAGAGAAGGAACACACGGTGCAACACATCTTCTTCCTGTAATTGTGCTCCAGTTCAGAAAGAAAAGGGGGAAAATAAATCTTAAGATGCTTCTTTCCTGCCTGGTTAAAAATAGAATATGAGTCAGAGACATGAAGTCATGATGAGGGATGCAGAACCCAAAAGAAACAAACAGAGGATGTGATTCTTAAGCCACCATTCGTAATTAGAGATGCGCTTGAGGTCTTCCTCCAGGCCAAGGAAACAGACAGACAATTGTTTGTATTCAAAATGTATTCTTGCCTCATTCATGGATAAGTTGTTGAGAAGGCAGGACAGGTAGATATAAGGGAAAGAGCTCAATCAATTCCTTTCCTGGTTCCTAAATTTAAACAATTAACTCCATGTATCATAGAGACATCACTCTGCCAACAAAAGTACGTATAGTCAAGGCCATGGTTTTCCCAGTTGCAATGTATGGTTGTGAAAGTTGGACCATAAGAAAGGCTGAGTGCCAAAGAATGGATGCCTTTGAACTATGGTGCTGGAGAAGACTCCTGCGAGTGCCCTGGACTGCAAGGCGATCAAACCGGTCAGTCCTAGAGGAGATCAACCCCAACTGCTCTTTAGAAGGCCAGATCCTGAAGTTGAAACTCAAATACTTTGGCCACCTAATGAGAAGGAAGGACTCACTGGAGAAGAGCCTAATGCTGGGAAAGATGGAGGGCAATAGAAGAAGGGGACGACAGAGGATGAGGTGGCTGGATGGAGTCACTGAAGCAGTAAGCGTGAGCTTAAATGGACTCCAGAAGATGGTAGAGGACAGGAAGGTCTGGAGGAACGTTGTCCATGGGGTCGCGATGGGTCAGACAGGACTTCGCAACTAACAACAACAAATCATAGCAGTCATATGGGAGACCAGGTGGATGGGGAAGTGAAAAAGAAAATAAAAAACAAACCCAGAAGGAATCAAGAGTCCAGTTGTATCCAAAGAGACAGAACAAAACTGAGTTTGAAGTTCAGCAAGGACAGGATGGGAGATAGCTGTATATTTGCATTGATTGTCTGTCTGCAACAGAAAAAAACAAAACAGTACCCTGTATGATATAGCAAATAGTATTCAACTTGAGTAAGCTTTTCAGTCTTTAAAGTCTATGTGCCTGGTCCTTTTGTACAGAAGAACAGTCTTCATGGGTCAACTCAGTCCAGCATTTTGTTCCAGATGTATGCTCTCAACCCTTGCTAAAAATCTGGGAACTGCAGTCCATACCCATCTGGAAGCTAGCCAGAATGAAAAAAACCTGATTTGAAGGAATTTGCTCCAGCCTTCTAGTCTTTGAGGCATCTAATAATATTTGATCTGTTCTTGTGTATTCTTTAGGATGACCTACATCCAGATCAGCACGAAGACCAGCCTGGGGCTGGAGAAGACAACATCCAGGTAGAAGCCACAGAGGTAAATCTCAGCTAGGCTATCCCCGGAATCTTTGATTGGGTGGGGGTGAAGGGGTATCTAAAGAAGTATCTAAAAAGTCAAGATCACAAAACTCTACTGTTCTTCACTTTCTTGCTGAGTTGGTTACCCTTTCTGTTCTCCATAAAGCAGTGTTTCTCAACCTTGACCATTTTAAGGCATGTGGACTTCAACTCCCAGAATTCCACAGCCAGCAATGCTGGCTGTGGAATTTTGGGAGTTGAAGTCCTCATGCCTTAAAATGGTCAAGGTTGAGAAACACTGCCATAAAGCAATTACAGAACTTTGCTCTACTGATTTCAAAATACTCCCTTCTGTTTTTTTTTTCCTTTCCCACTCTCTCACCCACTCCCACCCCAATTTCTAGACCAGTGGTTCTCAACCTTTTTGATGCTGCGACCCCCAACCGGTCGTAAGTCGAGGACTACTCAACCGGTCGTAAGTCGAGGACTACTCAACTGGTGCAGCACCGTTTGCAGAATGGGACTTTTGGCGGGCTCAGCAGGGCAGAGACAGCCTGGACCATTCCTATGGGCTTTGGAAAGCCAATAGAATTAGACTCTGTTCAAGAGAGTCTCTTCTATTGGCTTTCAAAAGCCAATAGAATAAAAGGAAGTAGCACAGCTAAGGAAAAGGGGGGGAAAATGGCGGACTGCGTTGTTTGGAGACCCCCGTGAAATGGTCGTTCGACCCCAAATGGGGTCCCGCCCCACAGGTGGAGAACCACTGACCTAGACTATTTTGATATTTTGTTTATCTGGGGTGACAATTAAGAGTTGAAAGTAGATTAAAAAATTCTTCGACTTCAACCATTGACTATCTGTGACCCTGCAGAGGAGTCCAATAACACCCACACTAATTCGGTGTTATTAATTCATCAATATCATTAATTAATGATAGTGATCTGGCTTAATGTTAATAATAAAGGCAAGTCATTTCTTGAGATTTATTTAGCAGAAGTCTTCTGGACTAAGCATGTTAATAGCTCAGGATGGCTTTTTTTTTTTCAGACAAAAAGCCTCATTAAAGGATGGATCTACTTATTTACGTGTGTATACAAATCACAATTTAGGCTGTCCTTTTAATAATGTCATGCTTCTGACAATGCTATATTATTGCTCTTTAAATGGCGGCATTCCAGGTAGTTAACTCTAAGCCTTGCTTTAAATATAGACTTTAAAGAAATATGGAAATACACCCGGCATCTGTATTTGCCTATTGTTCTTGTTGCTATCATTGCCCTAGCAGTAGTAGCAGTCTTAATTATATTTTTATACTGCACCAAGTAATTAAGGTTCCTTGTAGCTTGCAACAAGATTACAGAATATATCCACGGTAAAGAAAAAAAAAAACAATTGCAGTAAACAAATCCATCCAGCTCATAAACCTAATAATAACCAAATCCAACTCATTGGAGGGCTCTACTGCCCAGCTATGTTTTGATATCCACACCTGAGCGGGGTGGGTGAGTTCTGGGGAAGATACATTAACTTATTTTCCTGCTTTTTTTCCCCCCTTCTTCTCAGGGTGAAGGAAATTAAACTTCTCTAGAACTTCTACTACGTTACGAAAAAATGAGAAGACCAGGAATCAATGCAGACCTGCTAGAGGTTGCAAACAGCAGGAAAATCTCTCCTAACCCTAAGCTAACTTCACACAGCACGAGCAATGCTCACTTGCCTAATTTTCACTCTCCTAGCTGGGTGGCCAACTCTTTGATTGTACGTTTTAGGGCAATTCTACGCATCTCCCTTTGTGTCTCCTTTGTGTGGCTTCCTTAATTTGCTCTTCTTTGAGCCTTCCAAAGTGTGGTTTGAGAGCCAATTCACACTCTTGTGGTTGGACTCACTGATTAATGTCTTTCGGCTCGTTAGTATCAGCCCTTGATTTCCCTAGAAAGGGCAGATATTTTTTTTTTTTTAAGAGACAAAATAAAATCTTGTTTCAACTAATCCCTTATTCTTCTATTTCTTTTTTTAAATTCATCAGGCTGAATATAACGATGGTCTGCTCACTAGTTTGCGATCATAATGTTGTGATTCTGTGCCAGCCAGTGCTCCCAGCAGTTGAGTCTGGGGAATCAGAGGGGGGGGGGCTGGGGAGCCATCAGAGTCGGAGGAAGGGTCTGATGAGCTACATCAGGGCTTTTCAACTTTTTGACCCATTGTACCACTTTTAGGATATGGCAACATCCGAGGACCACCAGTCGCCTAGCAAGGTGTCAAAAACTTGATGACCCCCCCCAAAAAAGGAAAAAAGTGATAAAGTACAGGTAGTCCTCGACTTACAACAGTTCACTTAGTGACTGTTCGAAGTTACAATGGCACTGAAAAAAGTGCCCTCCCCAAGGCACAGCCGAGCAAGACACCTGCCTGCCCACCCGGCGGCGTTCTTCCTCCTGTCTGAGGTTTCCATTGTTGTGAGCATTTCTGTTGAGGATTGGCAGTGGGGGTGGGGTGGAGGGGTGTTTGGTTTTTATTCCCCCCGTCTGCTGGGTGGTTGCAGCAGATTTTGGTCACTTCACATGACCCTGGGACACTGTGACCGTCATAAATATGAATCAGTTGCCAAGCATCTTAATGTAAATCACAAGACCCTGGAGAGGCTGCAACATTCCAGCTGATCAACACTTCTTCGGGGCTCAGAGGAAGCGGCAGGATCAGTGCCACTTTACAGCTGATCAGCACTTCTTCTGGGCTCAGCAGAAGCACCAGGATCAATGCTGCTTTCCAGCTGATCAGTGCTTCTTCTGGGCTCAGCAGAAGCACCAGGATCAGTGCCGAGCTCCAGCTGGAGCTTGGCGCTGATCCTGGTGCTTCTGTTGAGCCCTGACAGCCCTGCAGCTCCAGCCATCTCTCGCTCAGGCTTGTGCGGTGCTGCCACTGGTTCAGCTCATTCCCCTCCCTCACTACCACTTTTCTAGGATGGTCACGTACCACCTGCCAGGTGCCAATGTACTACAGGTGGTACCTGTACCACTGGTTGAAAAGCCCTGAGCTACAGGACTTACACACTGATGAAGAGGCTGGCCTTTCCACTCATGAGAGCCAGCTGTGCTGGGAAGTGGAGTCAGACTCAAAAGAATTACAACTGGAAGAACTCAGAGACGCTCGTAAACGCAGACAGGCCACATAAGAAGTTCAGAGGGAGGCAATGGAGCAACTCCAGGGGAAGAGGAGAAAGCAGTGAGAAGCCACGCCTTGGGGGCTGTGTAACAAAAAGGGAATGTTTGGGCAGGGCTGGTTGCTAGAGGCAACCATTTGCAAAGAACTTCAGTGTCAAGGGATCATGGTCTGTTTGTTTTGCCTGTGAATTATTTCTTGTTTTGACTTGTGCTCTGTTTTGCTTTTGAACAAACTATCTGTTGGAAAAGTGTTCTGTTGCTTTTGTTTTGTGGGAAAATGATCAGAACTGTATATCAAATAAAAAGGGTTGGTTTTTCCAGCCTACTATTAAAAGAGGGGTTGTCTTGTGAAGTAACAGGGACGTACGTAGGCTGGGACAGAACACATAAGAAGGCCTATGGGGACTTTGGGGAATGAGAAATAGCATAAGGGGCGCATTATTTCCGATATTTTTTTTTCAGAAATACAAAATACGGTTACAACCTCAACTTTTTTGCTTGGCACGTTTAGTAGTTTTCCTGTTAGCAACGACATCGTCTTCTAGATGACAGGAATAACCTCCTTCCATCATTTCAAGATGGGAGCAGATGCGAGTCATGCCCTTTTTATGATGGCTTGACGACACACGCATTGCCGCTTGCTCTCCACGGGGACGCCAGTGGCCAGAAGAGTCGGCTCAACTCATTTGTAAGGAAACTTCCTAAACAGCTTGACGGAAATTTTTATTGCAGTCCAAATGTCCAGGCAGGAAGGCGAACAACGAACGTTCAGCGAAAGGTCAATGGAAAGGGAAGGGAATCAGAACAACTGGAAAAGATCCTGTTTTTAGAAGGATGAGGTAGTCATTGTGAAAAGGCACCGAGGACTGAAACCTCAGATATATTTAGAGAGTGTGAGCTCCAGGAGAGGAAAACAAAAGCTCCTATAGATCCTTACCAATTCAACATGGTTAGTGAACGTATTTTAAGAGACATCCAGGAACGTACCAGTGCATATATGACATAATGCAAGTTCTTCACAGACACAAATCCCTCCTTCCACTCAACTGTCCAACTTTGGCTAACATCAACCCAACTTGTTGCTTCCTGATATTTCAATGTCTATCAGGTTTCTCCTTCATTCCTACAGAGCTCCCTCCCATTGCTACTACACACATGTAAAGACAACAATCTCCTGTCCGTCATGCCGAAGAGCTAGTAATTTTATGGACGTATCCATTTGGTTTTGCCATTTGTTGTCCGGTCACTAAGTGGTGTCCAATCCTTTGCACCCCATGGACCACAGTACGTCAGACCCCCTCCTGTCCTCCATTGTCTCCCAGAGTTTGCCCAAATTCACATTCATTGCGTCAACGGCCCTTTCTAACCATCTCATCCTCTGCCTTCAATGGGTTTGCCATGATCTAGGTCTAATTTATTTTCCTATTTTTCTTTTTTAATGCCTTAGTCTAGCCTGGGATTTCATGGTGGAGTCCCCTTCAGCTGCTAAGCAATTTTGCCGGGGTTAGCGTCTTCTCTTAAAGCTTCACTGGGTGCTGCTATTTAGCTGGGTCTTCAACCAGGTGCACTGCTATTAACAGGACTCTTCCAATGGCATCAGTGTACTTTATGGTTTATTTGTATTCAGAGTTAAGGACAACCCCCCCCCACAATATTATGAATGCAAAGCGGAGTGAAGAGTCCACTGGCCTTGTTACTCTAAGTTCAGGGGGAAAAAAACATCTTTTCAAATATCGTTTGAACTTAGTGTGTGTATCAAATGCACACACACAAAAAAATTCTTCACCAGGAATCACTGATGTAAAGTTGCCAGGAGATACTACACAATGTTTTGCAAATGATCCAGTTCAGTACAGAGCCAAACTTGCACTGCAGATTCCCCAATTTAAACATCACAACCATGTACTTTTCTAGCTAAAAGCTGCAACGTTCTGGTACAAATCTCACAAGACTGCTTATTTTGCTTGCTTCTGTTTACCATGTTTATTTCTCATCTCTTCTGAGAAGTTAACGTGTGTGTGTGTGTGTGTGTGTGTGTGTGTGTGTGTCCAATTCCCCAGAATCTGGGGAACTGAATTTAATGTTGAACTTAATGTTCAATTTCCAATCTCCAGTGGCTGTTTGCTCTTTTCTCCTTACTGAAAGTCCAGCTCGGTGCTGCATTAAATGTTGAGAAAGCATGCCTGATTTACCAAAATAAACCACTTGGATAATGCAATTGCCTAAGTCAATATTGGCAATGCTACCGATGGAGCGTAAAGACCATTCACCAAAACATAACACAGCTGAACTGGAAGTTCAGCTTTGGCTTAGGAAAATCCAAAGAAGAAAGCAAGCGTTATTGATTAATTATCAATAATCTCAGGGATATCATTTATTCCCTTCTAAGTTATTAGGCCATCATTCATCCAGCTCAGCCTTTGCTGAACTCTGGAGGAGCGGCTACAACCGCGAAAACGATATTGTCAGTGCTGATCGTTGGCTGGTGGTGATTTTGGTCAATGCCGATACGATTATCCTTGTCACTTCACTGGCTATTAATGGGCTACTATAATTATTAGACACAACAGTGTGAAATCACGGTGGCCAGTTCTTCAGCTGCTTTGTCCTTCGTGTGCATCGAGTTCTTCCCAAGAAGCTAGGATATCATAACGCAGTGGTTCTTAACCTTTTTGAACGAATCGCCCCCTTGAGCCAATGAGGAATTGTCATCGCCCCCCTCCTCCAACATAACCTCTCAATCACAACATAGGAAATAATTCTTCAATTTATGCAAACACTTGTTTTCTTTTCTTTAAAATTGTCATCAGGACAGATCGATGCAAATAATTTATTTCCAGTCTTTTTCCCATATCTCAACTGTGTGAAAAATTTTGGTGCCACCTGTCACTTTATTCCCAAACTTCGTGATACATGTATTTCATTATTATCTTATTTATTCAAGACACTTAAATGTAATGACCACTGAAAACAAAATTCATTTGCAAGAAAATGAAATGCCCCAAAAGAAAAACAGTAACATTTAATGATTGAATTACAAGTGAAATTTAAGATGCAAAAAGAAATATAAAAAGGGTAGAGGCTGCTGCGCAACGCGCATGAAGATAAGCGATGCGTATTCACATATGTACGGCGTTCTGTACTGAAGCTAGCTGGAGGAACATTTGAAAACACAATTCAGTCCACTAACAGTGAGCGATCTGATGTTTTTGTACGACAGATATACTGCGATTCACTGTATGAAAAAGTCTCAAAAGTGTCCCCAAAACTTCTCCCTCCATCGCCCCCATATCGCCCCCTTTTCGTTCCTTTGCCCCCCTGAAAAACAAAATCGTCCCTTGGGGTGCGATATTGCCCAGGTTAAGAACCACTGTCATAATGCACTCGGCTTACGACATTCGCTTAGTGACCGTTTGAAGTTACAGCAACTTATAACCGTTTTTCACACAGACGTCTGCAGCATCTCCATGGTCACATGATCAAAATTCAGATGCTTGGAAACCAGCATGCGTTTACAATGGTGGGCGGGTCCCGAGGTCATGTGATCACCATTTGGGACCTTCCCAGCCAAACCTTCCAGGAAGGAGAGTCATTGTATTGACGTAATATACGTGTGGATCCAAACGAAGGGACCAGAGTGTAACCGTTGATGTATGTCCCAGCCATTGTTCTTCCTCTCTGTAATTTGCTTTGCTGTAACTTAAAATACGCTGCCCACTGAGAAAAAGCTCAGGGCGGAATGCCAGTAATTGTGTATCGGAGCGCAGAGAAGTCACGAGCTGTGCATAAACCGGTAGATAAGAAATTGTGTATCTGAATGCAAAGAAA